ATATACACACACACACACACACATCAACAAATTTTTAAAAATGTATTATATTTGAGGAGGAAGCATGGAAATTTATGTCATGCTAATTGGTAGAGGTGATAAACATTACCATTGAAATCTACCCGATGACTTTATAGACATACACAGGCGCCAAGGATCTGAGTGCAACCAATTATGACTAGTAATAATCGGAACTTTAGTAGTTTTTATTGCCTGCAGATCACGCCTAATCTCCTGGTAGTCATTGAGCAGGCTTCCTACTTCTTACACTACAATTCTGCTATTTCTTCAACTCAGTCATGAGCACATACATAACATTAGCAAGTAGATTTTTGCTTTTGTTACTCTGAGGGGGAGAAACTATAAAAGTGAAAAGAAGAGGGGTTTTTCATATTTTTTGTCTGTTTAAATCTGGCTACAGTGGGACTTAGATTTGCTATCACTTCCCACTTTTGTGATTGTGGTCAACTTAGCTTTGTGAAATAGTGGTAATAATTTCCTTATAGGGTTGTTGTAAGGATTAAATAAGACATCTCCATTCACAGCAATAATATAAATAGATATTTGTAAATATTTAACATTACTTAAGCATTAATTCTTTTTTGTGTGTATCTAAATACATATACGTGTGTGTGTGTGTGTGTGTGTGTGTGTGTGTGTGTGTGTGTGTATTACCAATTCAGTCTTATGGTACAGATGAGCTGAGCTAGTTATCTCAGCTAGATAATATAATGTTTCTCCTATTGTTGCCTAATTATTTGATATAGTTGTGTTGTTGATTCAGTAAGGAAGTCAGTTTTTAAGTTTTTAAATTTTTTAGTGTTTTGCTTTCATATATGTTAGTGCACCTGTGTGTACAATGCCCTCAGAGTCAGGAGAGGGCATCATATTCCCTGCAACTGGAGTTATGGAGTTTATAGAGTTATGGTTGTTAGCTGCCCAGGTCCTCTGCAAGAGGAGCCAGTGCTCATTATTAACCACTAAGCCATATCTCCAGCTCCAGGAGTCATTTTTATATAATGTAAAGGATGAATGAAGAAGTCAGTCATGGAACAGGCATAGTGGTGTATACCTTTAATCCCAGCACTTAGGAGGCAGAGGCAGGCAGATCTCTGTGAAATCAAGGCCATCCTGGTACACATAGCAAGTTCTAAGACAGCTGGGGCTACAGGGAAACCCTATCTCAAAACAAAAGGAAAATAAAAAGGTCAATCACTTGGATTCTCCTGTTATATCTCTAGCTTATTAAAGTTCTGGAAGATACTTTTTCTGTCTTTGTATTCCCTTTATTTTTATTTATCCCTATCTAATATTATTTTATCTCTTCATTTAATTTTATCATTTTATGTATGTATATAGTATGTATTAGGGAAGGAGTTACTTGTTTTTGAGCTTGTTAGATAGCTCAAGCTGACCTGGAACTCAGTTTGTAGCCCAGACTGGTTCTGAACACCCATTACTCTTGTCTCTGCCTCCCAAGTGCTGGATTACAGGTATATGCCTAAGTGTCTGGTTCTTTATTTTTAAAAGAGGAAAGTTAAGCTAGAGATTAATACTTCTTCCAGTTTTGAAATCTGCTGATTCTAAATGTTCTTGGAGTAGCTGTTTTGTGCTTTATTCTGATGAGAAATTGTTGGAGCTGGGGAGATGGCTCAGCCAATAAAGTGCCTGACACACAATCACGAAAAGCAGAGTTCAGATCCTGAGAACCCATATAAAAAATTCCTTGCATAGTTAATAGTGCCATCCTTGGTGGGGGAATGGGGGGCAATCCCTGAAGCTTACTGGTTAACCAGCCTAGGTTCAGTGAGAGAACCTATCTCAAAAGGTAAAGTTGGAGAATGATCCAGGAAAGACATCCAACATTGACCTTGGGAGTACA